ATTATTATTATTATTATTATTATAGTATTATATTTTATTAATCCAGCACATATTGAACCAGAATGTACCAGATTATAAAAAATCCTAAATTATCAGATATTTCTGTATTTTTGCAAAATTTAATAAGTTACATACAATCTGAATGTTGCAGATGTTGCTATACATATTGTATTAGTACATGCTGCTGCATACTTTAGACTTGTTTACGCATCCTCTTTAATCAGTCTGAAGACAATACAGTACATGACTATATTGTGTTAAGATTGTAATGAGTATGTCATTGCCCAGGATCTATAGTGTACCAATGTCCAAAAAAATTCTAATTCAAAAAAATATTAGCATCTTAGATTGTTCAGTAACAATCCAAGATGCTAATACAGTAGACCTGCGGTAATCTGGCCCCTGTCTAATCTGACATGCCTATATGCAGCTCGGTATTCAATGGGCTGAAGAGAATGGTGCATCATACAACAAACTTTTACTTCTGAGGAGACTGAGAGACATGGCCTTATTCTCGCGTTTAGCCAATGTAAAACAAAAGAAAATTTATGAATATTTGCATGCAACATAAATTTGTTTATCCATTTTCAAATTAAGATCATACATAGTATGTACCCTGGAAATACTTACATATGTTGTATGTAATTGATTGGCATCAATATGTTTAGTTATTATTTTTTTGCAAGTGCTATAGCGTTAATGATGTTAATTTTATAATAAGCCCTATGCTATGTATTGTGTTGTTTAATTCACTAAGTCCCATATCGTATATTATGTAGTACATGTAGATTTGATCTTACCATTTTTATAAGTATGTAATTTGTCAGATTACAAGGTATTCCTTTTCAAAAAGTTCTGGACTACAAGGGGTCGGTGGCAGTACTCTATAGTCTGACAAATTCGATCATCTGACACCACCTTGCAAAATGTTTGTCGAATTACTGCGGGTTTACTGTATTAACAAACTTCTACTGTGCAGTGTGTGTAACTTTTTTATTATTATTATTGTTTATTAATTTTTATTGATCATATATAAAGTTATTTAGCCATATACAAAATATATACATATATATATATATATATTTTTTTTAGTTTTGCAATATGACAGTCGTATTTCAAATTGTATTGATTCTAAATTTTCAGATAATGTAATTCAAGCTTTGGCAGAAAATTTAGGATATATTCAAGAAATTTTTGGTTATTTAAAGATTGTTAGATCTTTTCCACTGATATCATTAAATTTTTTGAGAGATTTGAGAATTATTTATGGTGAAAACAAATATTTAGAAAGGTAAGCTTATGAATTATTAACTGAATCATCAGAAAAAGTATTATTTTTAATTATTAAATTCAATTTTATATATATAATTTAATCTGTTTAATTGTACTATATATATAGAGCTTTTAAAGTTAGATTATATTTATTAATTTAATATTATTTATATTAGGTGTCAGTCTACTTAAATGTGTTCAGGTTTTTAATTAATTAGGGAAAAAAAATTCATTTGTATGATATTAAAATGATTAAATTTAAAATGCATTAATATGTTATTTAAAATATATTAAAAGTGTGTTTAATCTTAATTTCATATAAAGATATAAATATTAANATGCATTAACATTCATTTGCATTGTTCATCGAGATAAATACAAACAGTATGGGTACGTTGCACAGTCTAATATTGTACGAATAAATTATCGAATTAAGATTTTTAAACATTAATTAAAGGAAAGCAAATTGTTCAACTTTAGCTTTGCGGGCTACTTTCAAAACCTTTGCGGTCGACCGTGGTCTATGTGTTGGCCATCCCCGATATAGAGTAATGACATTATACAAAGTTGGAAGGTACAGTACATCACAAAAGTCATTGTCAGTATCATTAATTTAAGAACTTCAGTGGATGGATGAGAAGTGGCATTATTCAGTAATAGTTAAATTTTTTTATTTCGTTTTCTTTCACATTTACAATAACCTTCTGATATTTGATATAAAGTCCTTAGTGTGCCATTCAATAAAGAGATCTGTTTTACAATAAAGAAAATAACTTTCTCTAATAGACAATATATACATAATGTGTCTTTATATTACCCCCAGATGGAACCGTCTTGTTGCAAAGAAACAAGCTCAGGGTTCTCATTGATTTAATGTTCTAGTGAGTTAAAATGTTAAATCAAATTATATTCAATCTCTCTACACACCGGTGTTTAAATAAAATAAAATAAAAAACTCTTCAAACCTTTAACCGGAGTGCTTCTATTTTTAGAATTGCAAATTATATTCATTTTTTGGTGTAACTATATTTTATTTTGAAGGCATGTTTAAATACAATTAAATTAAAATTATTAAATTAAATCAATCTAAAATATAAACAATCAACATCCTCCCTCAGTGGCCGCGGTAAAATATCAACCGTTGATCAGTCTGTGGTGATAAAAAGGTTGGGGACTGCTGCTATAACATAGTATTTTTAACTATTTGACATGAATGTTTCTATTGTATCTGTATGTATTTTAAATTTCTTTTTACTTCTATAATTAATTATATGCTTAATTTACATAATGTTGTTGTTTCAAACAAAAAGAAAAGGTTATAAACTTTTTCAAAAAGCTTCAAAACACATAAAATTTGAGCAGCATGCATTGTTAGAAAATATAAATATATAAATAATTTCTTAATATATAAAAAGAAATACTATACAAAACCTATTAAGAGTAAGAAAATGTCAGGAACTTTCTGATTCACTTCATACATTTTACATTTAATTATTTTTTTAAAATTTTCATTTGATTTTTTTTTTAATGCAAAATTTGATAAAAATGTAGTTCTACTGAGATTGTTATTTTGCTAATAAATTGAAAGACTGAGGACATATAAAATTTTATAATTAAACATATGCCAAATTCTTAATGTTTAAAGATATAAACTTCAAATTTTCACTGTTAGTACACCTTTTCTCTCATTGTTCAAGAATTATTAAAAAATCCATTTTGTTGCTCATAGCTTTCTCATTTAGATTGAATCATTGAATATTGATGATAAGTCCTTTTCAGCCATATAGTGCTAGTTAGCTTTCATTTCATTTTATACATTATAATGATGGTATTATGGTATCATAAAAGTCAAGGAAGTTTGGTGACAAAATTTGTAAGAAAGATAATAACAACAGAGAATGCAATTATTGATTTAGATCAAAAAATGAAGCTTTTCAGTAAACAATTGTTGAATTTATCTTAGTATCATAATACTACAATGATATACTAATGTATATCATCATCAAATTAAAAATTATAGAAAAATATCATATTTGAGTTATAGTCAATACAGTAGAGCGTCATTTATCCGAAAGTCAGTTATCCGAAAGAATTCCAGTTGGCAAATTTAAATTTTTGCTAGTATTGTGGCGCTGCAATCTTTGGCTATATCTTGGACTACTCCAATATTTTTTTTGTTGGTGTGTGTGTTTTAGCTGGCAGCACTGACACTTTTGTGTAGTGTTTTTCTGAGGACTGTGTTGTGCTGAATCGAACGTTTTTGATACTAGATCAACTTCTAAAGTATAATTTTTTTTGTTTTTATATTTTTCAATATATTTATTTTGTTTGTACAAAATAAAGAAATAATTTTTAACGATACAATAACCATGATTATTATTTTAAAAAGTTTATGTTAGACTTAACATTGACGGAAATTCAATGCAAGCAATACGCAACGGAGAAAAATTTCAACATGGGATAGGTTAATATATTTTTTCGTACATAATCGGTTATCCGGACAACCTCAGTCCCCAATTGATTCGGATAAACGACGCTCTACTGTGTATACAGTCGACCCCCCTATAACACGGTAGATATGTTCTGCTTTATAAGAATTTCGCGTTGTAGGAATCCTCAAATACATGAGCCAATCACAGCCCGGCACATGTGCAGTTTATGGACTATGGCTGTTTGAAAGGTTTTCTTCCATAAAATTAATCGATTCTAGACTAATTTGACTCAACATTTCCAAAACATGTATAATTTTTTGGGAATAATCCATATAAACTATACTACAAACAAAAAATTGTAGGATTACTTACCGAGTGGGCACTGTTCGACCAAGCCATTGCTTAATCTTGTTTTCATCGCGGAGCAGTGCATCAAACGGCGGCCACATTTTCTGATAAGTTATTTTTCTGCAAAAAATTCATTGAACTTTGGAAACATCATTAATAGAAATAATTTTTAAGGCTATTGAATAAGAAATGTTTTTTTCACAAGAAATATATAAAATTACAGTACTGTATTAGACTTGGGTACCTAAGTTAGGCCTATATACTGTACAGACGATAGTAAACTCAACTTACCTGCCTAAACTCTACGTAGCGTGTAAGTAGTTCGGATGCTCGTTCACTATTGGTCCAGATTCAACCAATCCTGTCGTGACAAGAGTCGGCAATGACATTTTACCGCATTTTACGAGTCTCTTTTAGCGCCTTTACATGAATACGGTCACAATTTTTTCGCTGTGATATACGAATTCGCATTATATGAACCCGCGTTATAGGGGGGTCTACTGTACAGTACATGGAAAAATTATTTAGAAGGTTTGTAAAAAAATACATTTTGTTATTTTACAACCCCTAATATCTATTTCTATTTTTTCTTTGCTTTGATCTTTCATTGTCCTATATTATATTCTTTTGCATCAACTTTGTCTCCTTTTCTTTCTCATTGGATTCATTTCTTTCTTCTTTGTATAAAGAAAATGATATACTGTATGTCTTCCCTTAATATATTTTAATTATTTATATTTGTAGTGCTTCAAAATTAAGGACAGAAATGTGAAATAAATATTTGTATTTTAAATGTGAATTTGTAAATATCGTACATTATGACATTTATAAATGTAGAGAATCTGCTATATTATTATTTTGTTTATTAATTAGTTTACTTTTATTTATTTTAACAATTTACTCCATTACATATTTACATAAAAATAGAAATTTATAAAAATATTTTTATTAAAGCAATTAATTTAATTTCAGCTATTCATTTGTACTTTTGGATAATGATAATCTTGAAGAATTATGGAATTGGAATAACAGACCTCACAAGCTAGAAATAAGAAAAGGAAAAATAAGCATTAATTTTAATCCTAAATTGTGTGTTCATAAAATAAAAGAGATGAGAAATAATTGCATTATACCAGAATGGGCGGACGAAGACTATTCTCAAAATACAAATGGGCATAGAATAGGATGTAAATTTCATTTCTTGTTTATTTTTCCTTTATTTTGTAATATAAGTAATTAATTTACTATTAAATTAATTGCAGGTGAAGTAATGAATATAAATGCAGTTGTGTGGAGAATTTCTCCAAGAGTAGCTGGCCTGAAATGGGATAATATGGAAAAGAAATTTCAAGATCAGCGAATGCTTTTTGGATATGCTATTTATTATCGAGAAGCGTGAGTTTTTGTAATTTTTTTGTAGAATAATAATTTATTAATATATAATATAACAAATAATAATTATAAAATACTAAAAAAAATTTGAAATCCAAAAAATACTTGTAATTTATTAATTCTATACTATAAATTTTATTTTAAAAAAAGCAATGATAATTATAATAGTTGGATGACATTTTATTCTCTATTCTCTAAGATTTTTTTTCTTGATATATAGTTTATAAAATAAGAAATGGGAAATAATTGTACCATATCAGATGCAATCTATTCTAAATTCTTAAGTAATTATTATTTAATATATTTGGCTGAAAAACTTTTGTTTTGCCACTTTTAATATTTCTGCAGTAGTCTGTGTATTGTGTGTTAAAAAGCTTGCTAGTACAGATTATATATTACTATGTAAATTTTTCCACAGCTACAAAAAATCTCTCTAAAATAATTTTACTTTTTGTTATCTTAAGAAGTCTTTTTAATATGATAAAATGTGACAGGATGTTTTGTTGCTATTTACATCAGTTAGACACAAAAGACAAAGATTATAATGATGGACTCATTCACTTCTACTTATGAATGGAATATGGTAATATTTACATATCCATCAGTTGTCTAGTAAACATTTCCAAATTGATCTTTGTTTAAAATATGCTTTGTGCTAAGATGTTTTAACTTACATAATAATTGTCTGATCCTGGCCCTTGACTGAAAAGACTGAGTCTTCATGACAAGACAAGATTCATCTTTACTGCTAATATAGGGAAAGTTTGTTTAAGTGATTGATTCAAAAGGTTCCAGATGTGATTTAATTATAATTTGTTTTTATTAGTACAAAGATTTTCAAAAATATAAGAAAGACATTCATGGATTTAAAGGAATCAAAAATCATCATGGAGTATTATAAACTTTCATGTGAAATTGATTTTATTTTTATACATTTAATTTATTATAATTTGATAGAATGACAGTTGAATAGAATGATAATTGTAAACTAAGCAGCTCAACAAAAAATTTCATTTTTGATTTTTGAAAATTAATGGTGCAAATCTGAGTTGAAGTTGAACATGAATAAACATTAACTCTCTTAAGACCACTGATTACACCTTCCCTCTTGTTTACTTAATAAGAATGACCCAGGGCAATATAGGTCAGTCAAGGTCAGTCAGGTGATATTATTTTAAAAATTCACCAAAAATCAAATTATCATTATGTTTATATGAAAGAAATCACATACATTTATTAATATCTTCAGTTTTAAATACATTTCAATAGAAAATTTAAAAATAATAATAATAATATATCAGAACTGACATCTAAATGTGAAAATTTGTAACATTTTGCCAAAATTAACATTCTCTGGTTACACAGTTTGTTTCTGGCACTAAGCCAGAACACATCAAATATTGTTTTTACTATTCTACATAACATTTATGCATGTACAATTTTTCGTTTTAAAATTATCACACATTATATCAAACCTTTGTTTGGAATCAAAACTTTTATTGTGCTATCAACTAATATAATGAACTAATACACTTTTGCTTAATGTTGAATAACTTTTATCAATAAGATATGACATTTATGTCATATCTTATAGATGCACTCCATGCAACTTTTATCAATAAGATATGACATAAATGTCATATCTTATTGATAAAAGTTGCATGGAGTGCAAAGGACATGGAGTATTCAATCAAGAAACTTAAGTAATTTTTCCTGTATTACTCTATGCATTTGTAATAAAAATATCAAAATGAGTGATGCAGGAAAAATTGTTTTTCTTGCCAAATGAATTTAAAATATCTATTAATATATTGTCACAGTAGAGTTATTAGATGACTTTCTTGAGAAAAACAATCTTCATTAAGTGGAATTGACAAAATAAATAAAAATTAAACTTATAATTGCAAAATATTATAATTCACAACAAAACAAGAGTAAGAATGTCATTTTCTTTTTATAAAGTTCTGGAACAGAATAGTTTCAAGAGAATTTCTTTTTTATTTTAAATTATGCTGTGACTCACCTGATTAGTCATGGCAACAGAAGTCCATTCCAATATGTTTATTTTGTTATATAAACTCTTTAAGAATATAAATATCCAAACAAAATATTTTTAAGTATAAAAATATAAGTTAGCATTTAATTTTTCAAAATTTTTTAAAATTCAGAATATTAATATGAGAATATTATTCTTTCTTATTTGTTTATTCTAAAACAAGCTTTAATTGTAATTGCAAATACTTTCATTATTTGATTTCAAAACTTTTCTGCTGAAATAACTGTCTAAACAAATAAAAAATTTCTGCTGAAGCATAAAATTTTTTTTATGCTCAGAAGGAATAATAAAATTTATAAACAAATGCAATGTTAAAATTTTTTTTATAATGATAAATTTTTAATATTGAAATATTAAATCTGAAAAATGCTAAATGCATTTGTGTCATTTTTCTATTTCCATTATTATCTTCATATTATAATTCATTCTGAATTATAATATTTCATGTCTTCATATTATAATTCAGAATGAATTATAATATGAAGACATGAAATGAAAAGAAGTTTCAAAAATGCATTTTATATAAAAGTTCTGACTACTCAATTTTTTTAGCATATTTGTGTAAATTTATGATGTAATGAATTCTTGTTTTAATGCTTAGTTTCAATTTAAAAGTGTGAGTAGCTGGGGGTACACTCTGTAGAAATTGTACCACTTACTCAGCACAGATTAAGTGAAATCTGTTCTCAGGAGTTTGGATTGAGAGATCTGGTCTCTAGTCAAAGGATGGCCTTAAGGACGTTTAAAAGGGATCCAAATTCTGAGATTTAGATCCACGTCAGAATGATGACACCAGTTAATCAGTTTTATATTACGTGGATTAACATGAATTTTGAATAGCTATGGAGATGATGAAATATTTTAATTCAGATATTCTAGACCTAACTTTAATATAAAATGAGTATTTAATAAACAAAGAAAAACTGTACAAAATGGAACTTCAAATAGGTCTATTTATACTATCATGGAGAGAGAGATCACAGTTCCAGTCAAAATCATACTACCTCAAAGTATACTCTTTTCTTCTGTATGATGCAAATGTCCTTATTTTTGGTTAATTTTTGTAGTTTCGTTCTTGTCCCTTTTTAATTATCTGTCGGCACTTCATTAATCATTTTCTTCAGCTTAGTAACTTAGAAATTAACTTAGTATGAACTTCGGGAGTTAATATGGGCATTGGCTGTATGGAACTTATATGGAATATGTCTGTCCTCCTCTGGAACCTTCTGGTGTTCTCCCCGAACGATACTAAAGAATCCCCTTTTTGGATGTTTTTCTCTAATGAGAAAACGGTATTTTTTCCAGGTGTTTCCAGGTGTATTTTTTCCAGGTGTTTAGGGGGTTCACAGAGGGGTAACTGGATTGTATGTGACTCAAAATTTATGAAGATAAGGGAAAACAAAAAGGATGTCAAACTTCTGTTGAGAAGGAAGTGACTTTTACCAGTTTCCTATGTTTTAACTTAAAACTTCTTTCATTTAAATCAGAAATATTATTTCTAAAATTTTATGTATTTGACATCGATTTTCAATTAATTAGGTGGGGTGTGTCCAAAATCTCACAAAAGTTAAACATTTTTAAATTTGAAACATTGTTCAGGAAAATCTAACATGAATATTTTTCATATATAAGTATTTTTTGGAATCTAAATATTTATTTATTTTTTTTAGCCCTGTCAAAAATGTTACCATTTATGAAGGTCGTGATGCCTGTGGAGGTGATGGGTAAGTTAATGTTATTCTGTTTTAAATTTCTGAATAACACAAAGTTTTGAAATATTTCTATTGTTATAGATTTTGTAGTTGCTGATTTATTAAAATACTTGATTCAAAAACACGTAAAACATTAACAGTTTTTAATAAGACTAACATAAATCTTTCTGCTATTAATATTTTGATGAAAAATTTTAAAATTTTTTAAATAGAAATGCATTGATAGATAATGTTTTACTGATTAATCAATTAAACGGTTGTAATTATTGACAATAAATAATACTTGAACTTTTTAAAGATAAAATACAATATTTTTGGTTTTTCTATATCTGAAATATTTTATCAGAATTCATTTAATTATAAAATATGATAAGACAATTCCATCAAAGACTGTAATCTATATATATACAAGGGCTGTTCAAGAAAGACTGAAACTGATTTTCATACAAATCAAAATTACCAATGATATCACTGGGAAAGCAATATATTTGAAAAGAGAGTATCCTTTTACATGTATAGATCAAATTTCATCATGAGATAATATTACAATCACTAGCAATGCATCAGATAGAAGAGCCTGTAAAAATCTGCCTCCAGAAATCCTACAGAAGGCACAGGTACAGGGTGATTTATCTTCTTTTATCATCTTGGTATGGAGTACCTGCATGCAGTGCTGTCAAACAGTACTGTTACTTGACAGTATTGCATATCAGTTCTTGACACTCTCCAGCAACATATTGCAAAGAAAAGACATTGCCTGCATCTGCATGGATAGCAAATCCATTGTGATAATGCAGGGCCCTATTTGGCAGTTATTATGATGGAATATTTGTTCCTAAGAATCTCTTGTATTCCACATCATCACTGATCTTGCTCCCTATTTTTTTGTTTCCTGCTCAAAGCACAACTGTGTGGGCACTAATATCTAAACTGCTATTGTTCTAAAACAATTGGAGGCAATTCTGAAAGGGTTATTCAAAAACAGCTTCCACCACATATTTGAAGACCAGCAAAAATGTATGCACAAAGTGGGAACTATTTTTAAAAAGGCCATGTACATGTTGACCAACAATAAACATTAACTGAGGAAAAAAGTCTGTCTTTCTTGATCAGCCTCGTATAAAATTCAAAATATGTATGTATGTATGTATGTTAGATAAATGCTTGTATACTGTTTAATGTATCCACATCAAATTTGGCATCAATATTCTTTTTTGACACTCAAGAAAAAATATTGTAGCGATCCTTACCCCAAAACATCACTAGAGTTCATCCTTTCTTAACTTATTATGTATGTATGTTAAGTAAAGAGTTCTATACTGTCTAATATATTTGCTCAAAATTGGGCATGAATATTCTGTGACATCTTACAAAAATACTGTGGGAGTACCATTCATAGCCCACTCTCTCTTAACTCCCAACAAGCTTTAATATATCAATATAGTTTCATTATTGTAATGGGTCAATAAATGTACATTTATAGTTTCATTATTGTAAACACTCAGGTCAATAAATGTAAATTTATTGTAATTATTTATTGTAATTTATTGTAGTTTCATTATTGTAAACAATCGGGTCAATAAATGTACATTTATTGACCCGATTGTTTACAATAATGAAACTACATCTTTGAACATTCGGCTNATTAAGAAGGAGAGAGAATTTCAACAAGTGAAAAGTAACAATTTCATACCACTTAGATGACAGGAATTTGCTTGAAACCTGCACTTCACTTGGTTCAGAATTAGATTTACTGAAAGACAAAAGAGCTAGATCTGCACTTAACAAAAAGATGTTAGGTGAATATGAGAAAATGCCACAACGCAATAAGGTTTTTCCAGTAAAATCGTGTCCTAAAAAATTTAAGGAAACTTGTCAAACTTGTGGCAAATATGGTCATAAAGCTAACAATTGTAAAATAAAGAAACACGAAAGCATTAATGAATGTGCTACTCACAGACAGTACAGCTCATAATCAATCAGAGAAACAACATACTGAATGGATCTTAGACACTGGTGCTAATAGGCATATGATACCTAACAAAGATTGGCTAGACAATTATCATAATATCTTGCCCTCAAATATTAAAACTGGAGGAAAAATGTTAGTCTGAAGGTGAAGGTAATGTCATGTTGTCCACACAAAGAAAGGACGATATTGTAGAAATAACCTTTAGTAATGTATTATATGTTCCTAGATTATCAGCAAACTTGATATCAAATATCTAGCAAATAATTTTAATATTAAGGCTATATTTGATAAGGACCATTGTGAGCTACTTAATAAGAGAACTAACCATCTCATAGCAAGAGGAACATCCATTGGAAATGATTTATATAAGTTAGACATAGCACATAAAGATACAGGATTATTATCCAGCAATAGTCAATTTATCAAAATTTAGCACAAGAGATTAGCACATATTCGTTTTGAAGGATTAAACAGGCTAAAACTAATAGTAAAAGGATTAGAATTCAAAGGTACTCTCAATACTTATGCAGAAGGAAAGAATACTCAAGCCATTTTCAAAGGGAAAATCATACAGTCACCAAAATTCTACAATTGATACATTCTGACCTATGTGGACCATTAAAAATAACTTCAATTAGTGGTTTGCAATATGTTCTTAGTTTAATAGATAATAAAAGCCATATGACATTATGTACTTCTTAAAACATAAATGCAAAGTATTTACCCACTTTAAGAACTTTAAACAATTTGTTGAAAATCAGACACAAAAGAAAATCAAAATTTTGCAAACAGACAGAGGCACTGAATATATCTATTGATATATTCAGTGCCTCTGTCTGTTTGCAAAATTTTGATTTTCTTTTGAATAATGACAAAGAATTACTTAGAAAACTGTGGCATCCAACATCAGCTATCAACTGATTACCACTCCAGAACAAAATGGTATAGCCGAATGTTCAAAGATGTAGTTTCATTATTGTAAACAATCGGGTCAATAAATGTACATTTATTGACCCGATTGTTTACAATAATGAAACTACATCTTTGAACATTCGGCTATACCATTTTGTTCTGGAGTGGTAATCAGTTGATAGCTGATGTTGGATGCCACAGTTTTCTAAGTAATTCTTTGTCATTATTCAAAAGAAAATCAAAATTTTGCAAACAGACAGAGGCACTGAATATATCAATAGATATATTCAGTGCCTCTGTCTGTTTGCAAAATTTTGATTTTCTTTTGTGTCTGATTTTCAACAAATTGTTTAAAGTTCTTAAAGTGGGTAAATACTTTGCATTTATGTTTTAAGAAGTACATAATGTCATATGGCTTTTATTATCTATTAAACTAAGAACATATTGCAAACCACTAATTGAAGTTATTTTTAATGGTCCACATAGGTCAGAATGTATCAATTGTAGAATTTTGGTGACTGTATGATTTTCCCTTTGAAAATGGCTTGAGTATTCTTTCCTTCTGCATAAGTATTGAGAGTACCTTTGAATTCTAATCCTTTTACTATTAGTTTTAGCCTGTTTAATCCTTCAAAACGAATATGTGCTAATCTCTTGTGCTAAATTTTGATAAATTGACTATTGCTGGATAATAATCCTGTATCTTTATGTGCTATGTCTAACTTATATAAATCATTTCCAATGGATGTTCCTCTTGCTATGAGATGGTTAGTTCTCTTATTAAGTAGCTCACAATGGTCCTTATCAAATATAGCCTTAATATTAAAATTATTTGCTAGATATTTGATATCAAGTTTGCTGATAATCTAGGAACATATAATACATTACTAAAGGTTATTTCTACAATATCGTCCTTTCTTTGTGTGGACAACATGACATTACCTTCACCTTCAGACTAACATTTTTCCTCCAGTTTTAATATTTGAGGGCAAGATATTATGATAATTGTCTAGCCAATCTTTGTTAGGTATCATATGCCTATTAGCACCAGTGTCTAAGATCCATTCAGTATGTTGTTTCTCTGATTGATTATGAGCTGTACTGTCTGTGAGTAGCACATTCATTAATGCTTTCGTGTTTCTTTATTTTACAATTGTTAGCTTTATGACCATATTTGCCACAAGTTTGACAAGTTTCCTTAAATTTTTTAGGACACGATTTTACTGGAAAAACCTTATTGCGTTGTGGCATTTTCTCATATTCACCTAACATCTTTTTGTTAAGTGCAGATCTAGCTCTTTTGTCTTTCAGTAAATCTAATTCTGAACCAAGTGAAGTGCAGGTTTCAAGCAAATTCCTGTCATCTAAGTGGTATGAAATTGTTACTTTTCACTTGTTGAAATTCTCTCTCCTTCTTAATTTATCAAAATTTATCGGTATGGTATTTGGCAATATTGTGACCATCATTTTAATAAAATTAGAAAGGATTACCTCAGAAAATTGTTGATGTTTCCTAATATTGTTGAATACTTCAGCTTCTTCCTTATACATTCCTTTGTGTTTTCTCTTTTGTTTCACTCAGTAGTTATCTGGTGAACGTAAAACTGACTTAAATTTTAATAAGTCAGTTTCAAATACTTTAACACACTTTTCTTATAAAATTATTTTGAGAAGAAACAATTAATTATTTTAAGCCTCTATGCCCTGGACCCATAACCTGATGAAAGTGTTAGTAGAGCATGGTTAAATGAAGAAAACAATAAAACATCCACACACCAGAATCCAAACAACAAAAGAGAATTTTATTCTACAAAATGGGGATTTAAGTACAAAGGTGTTACAAGGTGCCATCTAATGGCCAATACAATATTTAAATCTTGTTTTAACAGCATGTCAGTATCATAATTTGACTATTGTGAGGTCTTAGACGAGGTCTGAAATCGTGTAAATCATGGAATTCTTATGTTTAAATTATAACGATAGATTATATAAGAGAAAGAAGAAAAACCCCTATATCTAAACAACGCAGCACAAAACATAAACAAGTCCCTGGGATGACTCCAACATGTGTTAAACAATTTGTCAATATCAAACCAAAAGGTAGAACTCTGACATAGGTGCTCATAAACAGGTAGAACTCTGACTCAAGTGCTCATAAATAGTCAATCTAGGAAAACAATTTTGGAAAAGGGAAAAGATTTGATGGATAGAAAAACATTGTGTATGTTTTTCTATCCACATATGTTCATGTGTATAAACAACACAACAGAAATCACAAACAATGGGCTAAATTATGAGTGTGAGTCTTGTGGTTTTATCAACAATCTTCGATCATAGTCAACAAAAAGGCGTTGAATAGACACTTTGAATCAGACCTTTCCCGTAATCCAAGTTGGTCTCAGTTTTTGCCTGGAAACAAAGGAGAGACCAATCAGGAAGTGAGGAATGGGACGAGGGCCAATCGGAAATACAAATAGTTGGAGAAAAACTATAAAAATTGGAAATTCAAGGTCGAAGGACAGTCTTCCTCTGGATTGAACTCAAAGTCGTGCTCTCTATATTGTGTTGTGTCAGCGCTGACAACTTAGGATGCCACAGCATCTCTACGATCATCCGTATTGTCCATTGATCCCATCTTGTCCTCCCCAGGGCTACGACCAAAGTTGAAATTCTCACCACTCTGAAGGACTATAGACAATAGGAATTGTCAATTATCAATGTAAGCTTAAATGTTACCAAATAAACAGCTTTTCCCTTTGTAAGACACTTGTCAACATTTGCCTCTTTTGCCACAGCCCACATGTGAACTTCCCTTAGGCTCTTCCTGACGTGGGATTAATTTACCCCCTCTAAAAGTCGGCAACCTTACACTATTGATAAACGGAGGAATGTTACATGGTCCAGTGAATCATGATTTGTGTTATACCATGTGGATGGTTGGGCACTTGTGCAACATTTACCTTGAGATCTTATCACCTGGGTATACTGAGGGATGGATACAAGAGGCAACGTTTTCTTGGGAGCACTTGCAGCTATCATCTCTGAATGAAATACTGATAGGTGTCATCTACTTGAACATTGTTGCAGATTAAGTATGCTTCATGGAAGTGTTCTCTAATGTAGATTTCTTCTATCAACAAGACAAGATGTCATGTAGCTAGAATTGTTAGAGAATGGTTCTATGGAATCTATTATCATGGCTTCTAATTGTGGTTTGAGTTTGAGAAATGGGTTCATGATACATCATCTCAACCACATAGTATGAAAGAATTGAAGGATCTGGTATCAGATCTAATAGAATCTATGTGTGCCAAGTGCAGATTGTTTTGGTGGAAAGAGAGGATCATCATCTTATTAAATAATGGACATAAGTACACCAATAAATCAAAATATTATATATATAGTTATATTGTATTTTTATTTCTGATTCTAGGTGGACAGTGAATGATGTTGAATTAGGACAAGGAAATACAATAACTAGTGTCATTACATATTTGAAACCCTATACACAGTACGCTTTCTATATTCGAACACTTACTGTTGCTTCAAGTAATGAATCGGCTCAAAGCCCAGTTTTGTATTTTCGTACTTTGCCAGGAAGTAAGTGATAGTTAGAACTTATTATTAATTATAATTCTTTGTTCATTATTTATATATTAAATATTTTAAATCTTATTAAAGAATTAAGTTTTTATTTAGTTTTTATATTTTATAGAATTAATAATTAGGAAGGATTTATGAATATGAAAAGCAACAAAACCTAATTAAAATCATATTTAAACATTAAATTGTTAAGAGAATTTTTAAATTTATATATATGATAAATTGTTTCTATATAAAATTATTATTTGTATTAACTAAATTTGAACATTTTTAGACTTGAAAAGCCCTTTTTATTTTAAATTTTGAGATGCAAACAAACTTGTATTGCATATTATGGTAGAATGCTGATAATTTGAACTAGTTGATGGTACTCTTTGGCCTACCAAGGCACTTGTACCAAAACAACTCCCAAAACCAACCAACCAAATTAACTTAATTGGGACTGAGATGATTTAGATAAATGAAAAATTTGGAAAAGTAAACTTATATATTCTAGAAAATATTTACTCAACTGTACCGTATCAGGATAATAAAATAAAAATCACAAACAAGTGTTATAAAGCAATACTTTATCTATATTGAAAGAAATTAATTCCTTATTTTTCTTGCACAAAGGAAGCATTTCATTTCTTTGCTGCTAGTTTCTTGATCTGTTTGAGGCATAGTAGTTGACTATTAGAAGACTCTAGTTGCTGTTCATAGAATATTATTGCTGTCTATAATGGAGCAAATGCCTCGGCATGCATCAGATCCAATTTGCTTTGTTTATTCTCATTGTCCTTTTTATTTTATTTTTGACAGATTCACTAGTTGAATTCACATATGATACAATCTCATGGTCAGTTAAGACTTGAAAACCATCATTAATATCTGTGTCACTTACCAGTCATTCATAAGCATTTATTCATCACAATTTTCAGCTCCAGTGATCAATTGAAACAAGTATGTAAATTCACCAACTTACATTCTGAGTTTTCCAGATATAAATAGAGCTTATTTCAATCTTTTTCAGATTGTCTGTCATCAATGACTCCAAAGCGTCAGTTAACATGTAAAAACACAGTCCTTTAGATTAAGCTTTTTAAAAAACAACATTTTCCTTGTTTTTTTTTTTGTGTTGTCAAGAGTAAATGATATAGAATGTTTTCTGTACATCCTCTTCAGTTTCTTGGAGATGCCTAGACCCATTGATTGAACTAACATTGTGACATTTGGTGGAATATAAATTAACTCAGTCATAGGGTGTGTTTACTTCTGAGCTAATAGTGCTACTTCCGAACACCGGAAGTGATGTCATTAGCATGTGTATTCGTGTTTACATATCCAGTTTGAAAGTAAATGTGAACGCTAACAAGAAATACGGTGGTTTCCTGCAAATAATATTGTCAAAGCTGCTATTTTAAATTTACGTTACAGATATAACTACTTGATTCTGAATCGGACGAGGATTATTTTATTGTGGATATAATTGTAGAAAAATGAAAAAAGAGAAAAGAAAAGTAAAGTAAAATAAAAAAGATAGAAACTTTTATTGAAGAGACTCTACCTTTTTATAAGCCAACCGATTTTAAACAACCTTAGACTTACAAGAGAATGTTTTGAAATTCTCCTCTAAAAAATAAGCCCAGTTATAGACACCGAAAAATTACTTCTTCTGGAAGACGACCCGTGTCTCCTCAAAAGCAGCTTTTATGCTGTCTATGGACATTGGCAAATCAAGAATCATTCAGGTTTGTTTATACGAAGTAATATATGAAATTAGATGCAGTTTATAAGAGAATAGTAGATTATACATACATATAATACATATTTAAAGCAATTGTTTTACCCAGTGAATGGATGTGATGTTGTTTTGTTATGGTGTAACTAAACTGAGTTCAAAATTAACAAATAATTGATATTAAATACAAAACACTTTTTCTTTCTTTCTTTCCTCTAAGGGTATTGACGATCATTTTAATATGTTTAGACAGACTGCGTGGAATATTTTAAATAAAGTTGCTAATTCTTTCTTACAAGTTAGTGTTAAATGAAAATGAAAAATGATCTCTTGGCTATCACACAGCAGGATGATGTAAGAATAATGGAATTTTTTATACCCAATCTGGTTTTCCTGGAATTAGAGGCTCTATTGATGAAAAGCATATGGCTATTAAGACATCAACTGAAGAAGCAGTAGCCTATTTCAATAGAAATAAGTATTACTCTGTCATCATATAAGTTTAGTTTGTAATGAAAAAATGGTATTCAAATGATACAATTTCTTGAGAAGTCATTTCCCATATGCAAGTGAAAATTCATTCAAGTATACAAACTTATGTAATTTTGGATTATTATTAATCCTGTTCATTTCTTTACGATTTATTTAATGCTCTGAACATAACATTTCTGAAGATTCCAAATGTGTATTAAGTAAACCTCACTTTTAATCATAAACAATGAATCAAACTTAATTTTTTTCACATTAATTAACTCTGTTTATGAAAAAGTCATCTAAAGCTATTGAACCTTACAATGAAAAAAAGATCATTATAAACATTTTATACAACAAATAATTGAAATTTACCAATAAAAATACTTTCTGCCGTTTATTTTTCGAAAACAAATTCCATTTTTAGTACTTTGTACAGAAAGTAATTTTTTCATGAGAGCAGCCATATTGAATTAGCACAAAGCTTGACAACGAACTAGCTAGCACTCTGAGCTTACCAATTTCGCTAAACATGACGTCACATAGCTCTAAAGTAAACGTCAATGAGCATGGCACTCTGACGAAAGTATACAGACTGAATGTGCTGGTAGTAAAATTAGCTCAGAAGTAAACGCATCCATAGTGAATTCATTTGGCATGTCAGCTGATGGATGCATGGTGCATTGTTGAGTAGCAGCATTCTTTGCTCTGTTTCCTTTGCAGGCATAATGCCTTTTGATACTTGATATAGTCTTTAATGTACCATTCACAAAAAAAGATCAGAGTTTATCCATGCTTTTTTTGTGCATAACTACTGTTTACATTTTTAAAATAATGAATATTCTAAATTTTTGTATTTTATTGTTAAAAATTGATTAGAATAGGAGGAAGCATGACTTGACCACTGAAGCTGCTGGTGACTTTTACTACACACTTCGATAACTTGTAGGAAGCTTGTGTATCAGCTGCCTCTGGCTAACTTAAAATTGATTAGAACATTGTGTTTATACAAATATATTTCAATCTGAAATTTTAATTGTTTCATAAAATGAATAAAATTACAGTAGATCCCCCTATAAGACGGTAGATACGTTCCGTTCTTTATGAATCAATTTTGTAGGAATCATAGTTTACGGACTACGGCTGTTTGAAAGGTTTTCTTTCATAAAATTAATCGATTCTAGACTAATTCGACTCAACATTTCCAAAATATGTATATTTTTTTGAAAATAATCCATATAAACTACGTTATAAACAAAAAATTGTAGGATTGCTTACCGAGTGTGTACCGTTCGACTACGCCTGTTGCTAAAGCTTGGTTTCGACGTGGAACAGCACATCAAACCGCAGCCGCGATTTCTGATATTATTTTTCTGCGAAAACTTCGTTGACCTTTGGAGACATCCTTAATATAAATAATTTTTATGGCCGTTAAATAAGAAATGTTTCTTTCACAAGAAATGTATAAAATTACAGTACTGAACAGACGATAGGTCGCCTAACTCGCCGTAGCGTGACGCTAGACGACGAAAAATATATATTTAATTATAATAAAGTTACAATAAATTAAGTTAATATATAATTATATGTACAGTACCTAATTTATATATAATTATATGAACAGACGATACTAAACTCAATTTATCCGCCTAAACGTCCGTAGCGTGGTGCTACGGACGGCGGGAAAGTAGTTCGGCTGCCCGATGACGTTTTACGTATTATAGGAGTTATTTTTACCGTTGTTTACGGATACTGCCACAATTTTTATAGGAATCATAACTATAGGAAACGGTTTTATAGGGGGATCTACTGTATATAAAACAGTGATAAATATTATCAGAAAAATTTTTTTTCTTTAATGTTTAACTGGAATGTATTTTGTCATTTATTTGTATTTGCATTTAAAAAACATAAAAGTAGATAATTATTTTTTTATTGATACAATAGTTTAAATTTGAAATAAGTTAATTTGAAAAGGTTCATAAATCAATTTTGTTCTAATATGACCTTAAAATTTCAAATGGAACCTATTAAGTTTATCAAAGTAAAGGTGTCTGTGTACATTTTTATTTCAATTTTTCTTGTTTTTTAACATTTTTTTTGTTTTAAATTAAATATTAACTTTTTAATAATAAATTATATGTGTATATTATGATCAATTATAGGGCTGGATTAACTATTGATTTAGAACTTGGCTAATTTATTTCATAAATATTACATAATTTGGACTAAAGAGAGCCTTGGGTGCAAAATCATTCCTAGTTGGTACAGTAAGTGACCTGTATGGCTCTCTCTAAAATTAATTAGTCTAGTAGCAAAGATTGACAGATAATATGGCTGGATAGCATAGATTGTGGATTCAAGTCCCGTTCAAGATTGATCTTTTCTTCCAGAACAGTTTAAATTATTTTATTTAATTCAAAAATTAATATACTTATTAAATTTAATACAAGATGGCAGGCTTAACTGTCTCCCTTTAGTTCAAGTTACTCAGTATCTATGTTTGCCAAGTTCTAGCCCAAATGCTAATCTAGCTTTGTTATTCAATCATAGAATTCAGTCTTGAGTCTATACAGTATCATTTTATGTCTACTTCAATTTTAATTATTAGAAATAAAATTAAAACTTAATCTGAGAAATAAACACAAGATTTCTTGGACTGTTGTTAATTTCTTATTTTCATTTCATTTCTCTTTGTGAATCTGATGTTAACATCTAATGTAGTTAGAAAAACTTTTATTAGTTACTCAATAGTTAACTGTATACAGTTATTTTAATATTTCTATGAATTTATAATTATAGCTCCAAGCCGACCCCTTATGGTTCAAGCTCAAACAAAAGATGATGGTGCAGTTATAGTTACTTGGCAACCGCCAAAACATCCAAATGGGAATGTAACATTTTATATGATTGAAATTCAGCAAGATTTTGATCCAATTGATTTTATAAATCAGTATAATTATTGTTCTGAATGTAAGTTTTTTTAATGCAGTTCAATTCTTAATAGAACTTTTTGTTTTAATAATAAAAACATATATTTTAAAATTAGCTCCTAGTCTATCTCTTGTTAAAAAGAAGCATGGTAAAACTGATAAAGATTCATTAAGAGAAATTACAACAGTCAACAATAATGAAGTAAATAGTACTTCAAATGGAACATGCTGTTCTTGTACTCCTGATCAAGATGTTGAGAATCAGATATATTTTGATGATTATCTGCAGAATATAGTTTATGTCAAAATAAAGTGAGTTTTAGAGAATTTTATATATATTATTTGTTTTTGTTTTTTTATTGTAATTATTGTCATATATTAAACATTAATTAATAAACATGTATATTAATTTCCTTTCTTAGTAATGTTTCACGTGTTAAACGTTCTGCTAATTTTCCTGATTTGCCTACAACAGCATTCTATGATAGTGAAACTTTCACATCTAATTATTCTGTAATAGACAAAGAAGGTTCTATAAATGATACAGCAAGAATTCCTATTAAATATAATTACACTGTTCAAGGAAAAACAACACTTACAATTAGACATCTTCGTCACTTTACGGAATACATCATTAAAGTAAGTATAAATTTTCTTTTAGCTAAATAAACCAGTTAAATTTTATTAATAATTATTTTTTATTACTTTTACAGGTTAAAGCCTGCCACGGTAATGAGCATAATTCTACATGTAGTGTTAATGGAATCACCACTGTTCGTACTTTAAGCCATGGTAAGTATAAAAAACTATTTAAGAATATGAACAAAAATGTTAGTTTTCAAAATTGACAAATATTAATTTTATCTATTGATTTTACTCCAAAATTCTAATAAAATTTTTGAATCTCAAAACTAAGTTTTTAATTTTGTGGCTTTGGATTAAAAAATTATTACACTAAAATCATTACTCATTTAAAAATTAGTTAATATATAATGCACAGTATACTCTTTAATACTCTTCAAAAAAAGAAAGCAACAGACTAAAGAAATTTTAAAATTTTTTGATACATTCAACACGCATGTAATTTTATTTTTGATTATAATTCAAGTATTATCAATTATTTAAAAACTGTATTTAAAAACATTACACATTTTTTAATGAAATAATTACAAGGGTTTTCGACATAATTTTGTTGTTGTTTAAATATTATAATTATTAATGAAATTCTATTCCACAATTGTAAACAATCAAGTAATAACAATAAAAATATATTTAAAAAAAAATATATGCAGAAATATTTTTCATTTTAAAATGATTCTATAAATTAAGATTTACAATAAAAATTTTATTAGAAAAACTTCTACATATTGTATTTCTTAAATTTGGAATTTTACTAAAGTTTCATTTATAAAGACAAGATGAATATTTGAATATCCTATTTATAGAGTTTCATTAAATTTTGAATTAATATATAATAATCTATTGAAATGAATGAACATTAACTTTTGTTTCATTTGTCTTCAAATTTAAAGAATGAAAACTGAATATTATACCATTTATATATATATTAATAAGTTATACGTTATAATTGTAATCAATATATAATGTATAACTTATATGACAAAGACTCAAACCTCTCTGGATTGATAGCAAAATGTCTGAGTATCAAAACCAAATAAAAGAATGGTATTAATAAAATAGTATATAAGACAGTTTTATAGACAGATTGGTTAATTCTATTCTTGTGTGTGTTTACAAAGTCAAGACATTGTTCAATATAGATGAGCAAAAGACACTTTTCTTCAAAGATGAGTGCTATAGACAAGTAGTAAAAAGTTTCTACGTGGATCATATAAAGAATGAAGTATAGGAAGGACATACAATAGATGAAAATAGCAAAAATATCCTAAGAAAATGACCCTGAAATTTTCAAATTAGTTTGGACATATCATGACTGAGGACTCCAAAATTATTTTTTGAAAGTCTCACAGATTGATACCCATTTCACACTTAACGATGTCATCTTGATCATCTTTTTCACTAGTTGAAAGATGTAATGACCTGCAAAACTGGATAAGCTTTATTTGGATTGTATTGTCACATACAATTCAATAGTTTTCAAAAAAGGATAGGATAAAGAAGAATTAATTTTTATCATTAATTTTGTGCATCTGTAAAGAATTAAATTATTTTAGTTGAACCTAACTATATGCATAGAATACATTAAGGCAAAATATATTTTCAATTAAGGTACTTGCATATGAATTATACTTATGTTTCTACATCATTTTGAAGTTTGTTTAATGTAGATTAATCTTGTTGCATCTATTTTGCTGTTTTTTTATTTAAAATAGTGAGAAACAAAAAATGTGTCCAAGTTTGCTTTTGCCATAATGACACTCCTCTTTGCCATTCTGGCTATTACTTTTCCCATTCAGTAAAAAACTCCTTCCGAAAATAACTTTCCGGATTGACATTCTTTCATTGATTTCAATTGTTATTTTAATTTTGTTATTAATGGAAAGATTATTGTAAACTAAATTTTGGCTAAGAGAAATAAAATGGCACCCAAAGTACTCTTAAGACAAGAAAGAAATGAAAAACTACATTCAATTAAATATAATTGAGTTAAGCAGAGATGAATACTTACCTAACTATGAAAGTATTTACATACAAATTGTTGTATACTGAGAAATTTCATAACTTATATTAATAAATTTTATATAAATAAATTTGTTTCTTCACTTTCCCTTTTTATTCATAATTTAATAACAATTTTTTACAGCATATATTTTCTTGGATATGACTAGTTTTATATTATTTATAGTAATCATCATATCCAACTATTGATTGTTGATTTGAAAATTAAATTTAATGCTGTAAGATATAAGAAATATTATAATATGTTTGTTGTATTTTTGTTTTTTTAAGGTATATTAATTTCCTTTCTTAGTAATGTTTCACGTGNCTAGCAAAAATATTTTTTTTAATATGCTGTTTGTAGCATCAATTAAATAAATAGATTAATAAATAAATTTTTCAGAAACTGCCGATAATATAGACCCGAGTACTGTTCAAATCAATGCAGAAAATGCAAGCTCCGGAATAATATATTTGAAGTGGGACGAGCCGGAAAATCCAAATGGTTTAATTGTTTATTATCATATTGAGTACAAAATATTGGATAATAAAAATGTAAGGCGATAGCATTATTCAAAAAATAAGATTTTAAATACAAGATTTTAGTTTTTATCTTATTGTTGTTTTACAGATCGTTCCAATATGTATAACACAATTGCAATATCAACAATATAAAGGCTATCAGCTGTTTAATTTGGATTCGGGTAACTATTCTTTGAGATTAAGAGCCACTTCTCTAGCTGGAAATGGCAACTGGACTTCTCCATTTTTCTTCCACATTCCAGAAAGAAAAAGTAATTTAATATTTTTACTTTAAACTAAATAAAATTTGTAATATTTTGATTTAATTAATATTTAACAATTTAATAATTTTAGGCAGTTTATCCAAGGAATTAATAATAGTCACTGCTTTTTGCTGTGTTATATTTGTGTTAATTTCTATCAGTATTTCTGCATGGCTGTTTTATCGAAGAAAGTGAGTTTATTATTGTTAATAATTTATTAATTTAAATGAGTTAATGTGAGATTAAGTTTGATTTTTTAAAATAGTAGAAAGAGTAATTTATTTATATTTTTAGAGCCCGACACAATGAAGGCATTCTTTACTCTTCAGTGAATCCCGAATATATCAGTGCTAATCTTGGTAATTTATTTTAAAATTATTAATTGAAAATTTAATATTTAAAAATAACTCTTACTATTAACCTTGTAACCGGAGTGTTGTGTAATACTTCAGCAAATGTTTTCGACGCCCCTTCTGGGCTTTTCCTCGGGCTTTTTCTATAAATACTGAGCTGGACGTTGAAAAATCTAATATTTTCTTTTGAGCCATTTATCTTCCAAAGGATTTGGAAGATAAATGGTTAATAGTAAGAGTTATTTTTAGTGCATTCCGGTGTGTGGAGACGAATAAAAATTTAATATTTGTTAATTAAATTATTTTTTTTATGAATTTCATTTAGTTTATGAACCTGATGAATGGGAAGTGGACAGAGAGAAGATATCTTTAATAAAAGAGTTGGGGCAAGGGTCTTTTGGAATGGTTTACGAAGGAGAGGCTAGAAAGATCATTCCAGGAAAACCAGTCATGAGATGTGCTGTTAAGGTATTTAAATGTTAATTATGGTTTACTTTATGCTATTATATATTTTCCCAAATTAGACACTTGATACATAAATATATTCATTATTTCAGACAGTAAATGAAAATGCTTCTCATAGAGAGAAGATTGAATTTTTACAAGAAGCATCTGTTATGAAGTATGTAGTTTTATTTCTATGGGTATAAACTTTAAAAGTAGTAGTAATATTAATAATAATAATAATAATAACAACAACAACAAATTGTTATAAATTTTTAATTTTAGAGCATTTAATTGCTTTCATGTTGTCAAACTATTGGGTGTTGTATCAAAAGGACAGCCTGTTCTTGTGTTAATGGAATTGATGGCTAATGGGGATCTAAAAACTTATTTGCGTTCGCATAGACCCGAGGTAATTTTTGAATTATACTAAACTGAAATTTTTGAATGTTATTTTTAAAAAATTACATTCCTAAAACTTTCTAAATAGGAAAATCCAGATTGCCAGCCTCCAACTTTGAAAAGAGTTTTGCAGATGTCAATCGAAATAGCAGATGGAATGGCCTATTTAGCAGCTAAAAAGTTTGTTCACAGAGATCTGGCTGCTCGAAACTGTATGGTCAGTGAAGACCTGACTGTAAAAATAGGCGATTTTGGCATGACTCGAGACATTTATGAAACCGATTATTATCGTAAAGGCGGAAAAGGTTTGTTGCCAGTTAGATGGATGGCACCAGAATCTTTAAAAGATGGAGTTTTTACAAGTCAGTCTGATGTTTGGTGAGTTTTATTTTATCTTGAATCATTATTATTGAAATTAGTTCTTGAATCAGTATATTTTGATTAGTAGTTTAAAGTTATTTTAATTAATTAACTAATTAAAGTAAAGAAATATTATTATCTTCTTAAATGTTTTTAAATTTTTAAGGTTGGAAATGATTTCTTTTTAATGTATTCTTGAGAATTCTTTGAAAAAATTCAGTTTTTCTCATGCAAAATTTTTTTTTGTTATTATTATTATGTTTGGTTTAATGAGATATTATTATTGTGTAGGTGAAATGTATCTTACTCTGTTAATATTGGTGCTTAATGTTACTTCAGACCAAGTCACTCATAGCTGTAGAAAAATCTGTTATTTTGTTTATATGTGCTGTTCATTTATGCATTTGTGTTTAAGAATTTCCTGAATTTATGTGATGTGTTAAGTATGGTAGCTTTCTGTAACATATATGTGCTGTTGTGAATTCTTAGTGTTTCTAGACTTTGGTGAAGTGTGCGTGGTATGACACCTGTACAAAAAGGACTGAAAGCACAATAAAATAAATACCATATTCATTTTCTGCAGGTGTTTTATTTTATGTGCATGTATTGAGTAACAATACTCTTTTTTTGAGTCTATGTATTTTGTATGTTGTGGATGTTTGGAATAGCTGTTTTTGTAATCTATGATTTTGTTTTGTTTCTCAATGAGCATGTTGTCTGGTATGTGTAATGGCTTGTTTTGTTTTGTTGATGATTATAGATCAGTCATGTTGAAACTGGATGCCAGAACTTCTAACACACAATATGATAGTTAATAAAGAAACTTTTATTAAACAAAAAAGGAACATATATATTAACATTAAAACTTCACACAATCTGTGATAACATTCATCCATGTCTGAAGAACAAAAAAGCGTGAAGAGACGGTAAATCGCCATTTGAACTATGGTTTAATAAAAATCCAAATACAGTCGATTCTGTTTAATTGGGCCACTGGTTAATCGGGGCAGCTGCTTTATTGGCCAAATACCAAAGAACAGAAATCAAACTAATAAATTAATACATAATTTAATTGCTTAATTGGGACAGTAGCAGAAAAGGAATTTAGCAAATTTTGATATATTTTAGGAATTTTCCAAAAACATGTAGACACTACATACACTAATGTCATGTAGGCCTAACAATTGGCAGAGACAAAGCGGTTTTGTCTTTTGCTCAAGCAGTTCAGTTTTTCCAGAAGGGGGTCACCATAGCAGGACGTATCACATGGGGATCCCATCTGAGATGGACCTGAATGCAAGCTACTTACCCTGCTCTGGATTGGACTGGATGATCCCTTTAAAAGTAAAGGGACAAAGATTCCCAGACAATTTTTCAAGGTCTCTTGACTGAGTTGGAACAGCTAGTTTCCTTGGAAGGTATTGTGTGCATAATTATATCTAGATTCAAACAGTAGCCATCCGATCATTGAGACCAGCATCTGGAGCTGGCGGATTCTATGGACTCTTGTGCCAAAGTTGCCCATCTCCAAGTAAAGGATACTGTGCTCAAGGAAGACAATAAGGTGACTTTTGGACGAATCCTTTCCTTTCTTTCTTTTTAGTTAAAACATGTTCTAACTAAAAAGGGAGAAAGGAAAAATCATTCAATCAGGAACGAATCAAACGTCAACCCTTATGTACGTCACTACTAATACTGTATTTGGCAACACTAGTGTGATGCGAATCAGTTATCTATCATTGTGATTCTGGCAAATTTATAGTACAAATATTTTCTGTATTTTGATTTAATAAAGCATTAAAGTAGGTACTTATTTATTTACCTACGTATTACATATTTTATTTTAGAATTTATTATTAGTTAATTTAATTAGGGCAGCCTCTTAATTGGGCCAAAATGGATTAGTCCCAACGTGTCCCAATTAAGCGGAATCGACTGTATTAAACACTTGAGAATCATTGGGAGTACTTGCTATGCTCATGTACCCAAGCAGCTAAGGAAAAAGTGGGAGAAGAAAGCACAGAAAGGTGTTTTGATAGGATATGATAATGATGATGAGTATTGCATAGGGGAGAGAGAAAATAACGAGCTCATTTGTTCGAGGGATGTTGCTTTTCAAGAGGAATCCTTGATTGTTAAAAATGCTAACTTGTACATACCTCAACCACGAATAATCATGAAGTCTGATAGTTTACAAGAAGATGATACTTATCTGAATGCTGAGAAAGGACATTTGAATTTTCAGGATGGAGTTGAGAGTAAAGAGACAACATAACAAATGACACTGTGGGATCGTTCTGAGTTTCTGCGCCCTAGAAGATTTGATGACTATGCCGTGCCAGTGATTTTAAATTCAAATGCCTTTGAAAATCCGTATACTTATACAGAGGCAATTAGTTGTCAGAACCGGGAGAAATGGTTAAGTGTTTTGGATTGTGAAATAAAATTCTTAAAAGAAAATGAGACATGGACCCTTGAAGAGTTACCATGTGGAAAAGCAATTCCATGCAAATGGGTATTCAAAACAAAGACCAATCCAGTTTCAACAAGTCATAGTATATTTGTGTGTTGTTTTCTATGACTGTCTGAAGGGTGGTGTCTGCAATATGGTTCCGAGGTGTGTAGTAGTTTGTTTGTGTGCGAGCTTTTGATGTATTGTATTTGATATTTGGTTATGTTGATATAAGTAGTCTGTTCCTGTTAAAAGCTTGCAGCCCAATATGATGTATTATATATGTTTCATGCATGATGTGGCATTTCCTACAAGTGTTATCTGCTAGGGTCATGTCTTTTAAAATGTACTTCCTGTAGTTTTTTGTATTTATGACCTGATCTTGGAAGGATTCATGATTGCCATACATCTCTCCAAAGAAACATTCATGAGTCAGACAGTAGTTTGATGTAGTTCTATCAACATGATCATGGCTGAGATCATTAGGTGTCTATTGTGAAGCTCTTTTCCATCAACTGCGCAATGGTGTTTGTACATTTTGTGTATCGTGTTAGATCCAGGCCAATGTTGTGGAAGTTTAATGGTGTACTGTTTTTGTTGCAAGAGTTATAGCTTTGTGTAATTGTCATATTTCTTGATTTTTGTAAAAAAAACTCTTGCAGTGTTTGTATTTATTTGTACTATATCTGTGAGGCTTTACCCTCTCTCTTTACAAAAAGTCAGTCTTTCAATGGACAACTTGAGTGGTGTTTGTGTTTTATTAATGTTATTCTAGTTTTGTATGTTCAATGTATAACTCCAAATTGAATGTCAGTACTGGAATGACATGTATTGATTGCTTTAATAAATGTGTTTTGCATTGAGTTGTGTTGTTTCTACTGTTTCATTCTTTTGTTAATCTTTGTTTTGTTAGTGTTGATTCTGTTAATTTTTCCTGTTGGAATCCCAAATATTTGTAAACTGCTCTCATCCATGGATTCAATGATATCTTGATTTTAGAGTACAAAATCTTTTTTTTTTTTTCCTGTGGGAAACGTTCTGCATTTGTCTAGGTCAAATCCCATTTGAATGTCAGTAGAATAAGGTGTAATTTCTAATAGGTGATTTAGCTGTGCTTGTATGGATGCATAGTTTTATGTCATCCATGTACAGTACGAGATGAGATATGTAATGTGCTGCTTTGTTGTGTTTGATGATGCATTCATATTTAGTGTTGTTTAACCTATTGGATAGTGAATTTAAGCTCAGACATAACAAACTGGACTTAAGGCAAGGCATTTTTCAGGGACATTTGTTGTATTTCATTTGTATTCATAACACATTTATATGAGTTATGAAGTCTGAGGTGTAGTGTCAGTCTCGAATATTGCATTGTATTTTCTATAAATGTAATAAGTATTGGATGTAATTTGAATAATAACCATGAATGTGGGATTCAGTTGAATGCTTTCTTGTAATCTATGTACACAATATATATGTTTTTGTGTTGTAGAATGAACACTTCAATCAAAAGCCTTAAATTATACTCCAATAAGATTTAATTTATTGTAGAATGACTGAATCTGAGTAGTTGTTCTTCACATCCCACATGTTTCTGTGACAACCTTTTATTCTTTGAGGATGTTGTGTTGTTCAGTTTGCTGGTATATTTTGTTTGTTATGCAAGATGTGAAGGCATGTGATAGATCTTTTTGATTTTCATGTGTATGATGCCCTATGTAAAAAAATTTTCTGTTTTGTGGATTGTTGATTGTGTACATAAAATGTTTTGGCTAGGTTCTGATGCAGAGATGTAAAATTTTTGCACGGAAAATTATGAATGTTATCTTCACTGGCTGTATTTTTGTATAGCATTTTAGATGATAATTGTGTTTATCTCAACATAGGGCTTGATTGGTGAATGCACTGAATTGTGCATATTTTATTCTTCCTCTTTTTATCTGGCTTATTTCATTTTTCTGTGTAATTGTGTTGGACCAAAGAGCAGACCAATAGTCTGAACTTTTTTGTTTTGTTGGTATGCTATTGTGTGTGGAGTTTGTATGTAGTTGACTGTAGAAAGTGTCTCATTGTTTATGAATAGTTTATTTTGTTTTCATGACTTATAAGTTTTATATTGTTTGAGTCTTTGCAACTTGGCTGCTAGTTTTTTGTTTGAGAATATTAGTATATTATTGTGCATGCATATTGATTTGTTTGTACTGTGTGTGTGTTTTAATTTTCCTGTATATTTTCTTAACCTCGTTCATTAAGTTTGGTGTTATGTTGTTTTTAGTGTTGTGTTAGTCTGTCTAATTGATGTTTAACATTGTGTTTATTTCTAGTTTTTTTTACCAGGTATGCTTATGACTTTCATTGTGTATGTTTGTGACTGTAGCTTAAGGCCATGGTACATAATTACAATGACTGCACCAGAATAAACTGAGATATGTATGTCTGAAAATGTTGATTTTGATTGGATGTGTTTTGATAATATGCTTATTTAGATTAGATAATGTAAAGTTCCTCACTTGTTTTGATGTACAGTAGAGCCTCGATTATCCGACCCCCGATTAACCTACCGTCC